ACAGTACGAATTGTTAAAATGTCCAGAAGCATAACTTTTAACAAAGTACTGTTTCTGCAAGAAAGAAATCTAAATACACGTAATGAGTTTTGACTTTCTCCACGTCTACTGTATTACACTTGATGAGCTCACTTTGAGTGAAATCAGTTAACGTTCGGATGCACTACTCACCACAAACATAATAGTCGGTCCCTCGTGAAAAGAAGCATAGGCTAGTAATACCTCAGCACCATATTAGAGATAGTCCCTCTAAGATTTTCTTTGCGATTGCCTCAGCACAGCTCCTTGTCCATAAATGGATATATAAATCACTGTTAACGGAGTATAAGCCTTTCTTGCTTGGAGGAGACTTTACTTAAAAGGAACAATTAATTATCAACGTATACAGTGAAGATTTTCGCAAGACATCTTTGAAACAACGAAAAAACAGTTAATTATTTTTCTTAATTTTCACGCACGAGGTCAATTATAATTTTTGAACATGCAAAATAAGTGAACAAACAATTTTTGCTATTGACGACAGGACAAGCAAGCGTGAATGTTTTCTGTGAAAAACTTTTCATTTCTTCCAAACGCTACTTCTGATTTGCAGTGAATTAATGCGTTACGCCTTGTATCATTTTGCATGCTTCCGCTCCTACTAAAGGTGAAGAGAACACAGAGTAATCTTCTATTTTTTAAAAGTCGATCTTGTAATTCTAATCTTGCAGAAATCGATCATTTCTATCTACGGATGCTGCAGTTACTCTGTGTTCTCTTCACCTTTAGTAGGAGCGGAAGCATACAGTGATTTCTACGGATGCTGCAGTCCATTTTGCCCTTCTGCTTTCTTATTTTGTATTTGTGACAGACTGTAGAACTTCTTATATCTCTCCATATTCAATAAATGTTTCGATCACGAGTTGATATAAGAAGCCAAGTATGATAAATGTTGAGGGGAGTTTCCATCAATTTTTGACGATGAATGAGATGGTCAACTATTGCTGCGATACGCTTCTAAACTACTAACTCTAATGTTTACTTTGTTTGAACTTCAGATTACCTACGATAATTACTGTGTAAGGGTTGATTCTTTTTGCCCCATTTCTGTCTTTACATGAATTGTAGCTCTAATTTTTATATGTTTGGTTATTTTCATCCCCAATGATATGTTTCTTACAATTTACCACTTCGCATTAGACCGTAACTCTTAATTCTGAGAAGCAGCGTTCAGTCTATCTATATGGAAAATATGAATTCTATTAAGAAGTGGCAGCAGTGATGGCAATAGGGAAATGATTGCATTTTGTTTCCGTATAACTGTAGTCAGTTCTTAGTCCCATTAATGAGAAGTCTAAAATTTTAATTCATTTGTATCTTTAATCTTAGATCACATCTGCCTGGAAGTTGCTTGATTCTCCGATCTCTGTAATGATGAATCAAATACTATCGCAAATGGATACAGAACGGGTTTATATAGTTAGGAAAGACAAATACTTCAATAGGAAGAAAAAGGAAAGACTGAAAAGTCAGTCATTTGAATAGATGATGAGACGAAGTGAAGAAGTCTTTTCAAGCAAACGAATCACACAACACAACACAACGCAACACAGAAAAAGAGGTATTAAAGATGTGCTTGTTTGTATAGAACAAAGCAAACACATTGGGATAGTTCTCTCACAGTCATAAATAACACTCTGCCCTTAGCGCAGATCAAAGTCACTTCCAATCAAACGATCAAAATTTGACAAAGATTATCTCTGAAAAATTTTAGAAGCATTTTTTGCAACCTATGCTAATTTCAGATTGAATTATTCACACGTGCCTTATAGCTCCAATGATTTTAAACAAGTTTTACATCACTTAATAGTGTTTTCAAGCTAATATGACCGAAAAATATTGCAATTTGCTATAACAGATTGGTTTCTGTCGCAGAAAAATGTTTGTGTTTGCTAAGAACAGAAGTAATCTCATTCAATTTACAAACAAACCAACAGTGAAACCGTCTTCGACAAAAATACAAGCAGGCATTGAGAGTTGATTTTGCAGTGTTGCCCAAAGTGGCTTGTATTTTTCATCGAACAAGTTTTATTTGACAGTAAAATCACAAATTATTACAATAACTTTTCGTTTAAAATTTAAAGCTATTTTTTCTAACATTGCAAGAAGACACCAATCAATCAGTATGACTTTTACTGTGCTTTTTTTATACTAACAATTGCTTCAGTTTGTTCATTAATCTGTCACTTCTGTTTTCATAGATTTTTTCCAAATCATTCAAATTGGGGCAGCATATTCCTGTAAATTGTAACTGTGATTTGTGCAATTTCCAACTTTGTCACTGAATTTGGCAAAAGTTTAATGCTTGGTTTGAGAAAAGAAAAACTGAAAGAATAAGTAATGCCTTTTTCTCCTGATGAATTTGTCGCTTCAGATTCACACCGGAATCCAGCAGGGCACTCCTGATCACATGTGTACACTCCGATACCTGCAGCTAACAGAGGTTTGCCGCCGTCACGGCAAGTGGGAATTTCTCCACTGTATTCTATTTCTTCCGGTAATAGTCCTGAAAACGTTGTCAGTAGCAAGTTCATACTTTGAGTAAAACACTACACAATCAACTGCACTTTGCAAGCTAGAATACTGAAGATAATTTGGGAATAAAAAGTAAAAAATTATACAAAGATTTACCTGCATGAATGTATAACGCCGGAAATAGCACAAATAAGAAATAAAACATGGAAAAAAGTATAATCGAAGGGAAGAGGTATGGGATATCTTGCCCCTATCACTGTTGCAAGGACTATCAAAGTTTACCAGACAAAAAATTTTTCACCATTTTAAATAGTAGCTGGGTCAGGTTAATTCAGGGTTATGGGTCAGATTTCCTTTCCAAACTCTTCTCTTGTTGTTAAATGCAAAATCTGACGAATGCCTTTTCCGAATGATGCACAAGACAATGAACATCTGCATGATATCTTCTGCATTCCGAAAAATTTAATTGTCGAATTACTTAACAATTAGTTCTGCTCAATTCTTGACTACTTCACATTATTCAAATATGATTCTTTTATTTGTCCAAGTTTCTTATCAAACTTTTCGAATCATCGAAATTGACCTAATAATTTTATTAAGTCATCTCTTCATTTGCCTCGTCAGCTTTGCCATTAACATTAACGAAGTACATAAAAATGTTATTAATAATATACAATGTTGACCTCATTTTTTCATTTTTGTCTATTATTTTCTTGAAAATGAAATCAATTTTTGGATATATCAATCAAATCCATCCTTTATTCTCTCTCTGCAACAATTTCATATCGGTTCTCTTCGTTTACACGTCTGCATCTCGCCATTTCTCTAAAATGTTTCATGCAATTTTATATAACTTTCACTTTTTTGTTTATCAACAATATACTGACAATATTATTACTGTATGATCATATATGGAAATCACATTTTCAAATCTTTCCTATACAATTTTGATAAGATTACTAAACTACTATGAGATATTGAAGGTTTTTTAGCATATACGTTTATTTTATCATTTAACTACAATACATGAGTAGGTTAAAGTACGAGTTGCTAGAAGCTAAATGTTTATTTGAAATATTTAACATTTATTCAAAAAAAATTTCGTATGAACTTACAACTTTGATAGGGGACCAGTCATTATAACTTAGGACACATGAATGATGAGTAATATTACTTTAAGGTATTTAAGGTAAGTTATTTAAATAGGTCTAATATGTCGAGCTACAGTTTGTCCTTAGTTCATCATATTTTTAATTAACCATTGGGCAAGTGGCCTTTTACTTTTTTATTCACATTCAGTGATTGTTTTTGTTATTTATATGTTTTTTGTGGTAATTAGCTACAATTAAATTATTGTCTGATTTTATCTTTTGTATTATAACTCGTCTATACTAGAAATTATTTGTTTAATCGAAATAATTTGAAATTTCTTATATATGGATTTTAGGTCAAATTTTTGAAAATTCATCTGTATTACTTATTTTACTCAATGTCAAGATTGAAAATTCACAAAGGCTTCCAGTTAGTAATTATTGGAAGTGGACCTACAGCAATGGGTATGCTTCACCGGATATATTCATTGGTAGATAATGGTTCGATTTCAGATGACGATATTAAGGTTTGAATTATATACTGTTGATTTTCTTTTTTATCAACTACTTCTTAAATCTGAGATTTTTAAGCTCACTTAGACTCGTTGTGATATATTTGCAATTTTTTTATAAACTGAGATACTCCGAATATTATTAAATTATTGAACTAAATAATAATCTATTTTTGCTCAATAAGTGATTGTATAATTCCATACTAATAAACTGTTCAGGTTATTATTCTTGAAAAAGAAGCTGAAGTAGGTGGTTTGGCTCGATCTGTAACTGACAACAAAGGATTTACTTGGGATTTTGGTGTACATATTATAGGTTTATCACGATATAAAGAATTCGAAAATGTTATTAATTCTGTTGTAAGCAAGTGGAATAAAATAAAACATTCTGTCAAGGTGAATTTAGATTGCTAGAAGCTTATTCTTAAATTAAGAATAATAATCTGACTATTGAAATATTAAAAAGTAGGTTTTTTCCAATTTTTTTCACTTATTCATTTTTAGGCTGATTTAGCTCATTTATTTAAAAGCGAAAATCCAGTCAACAACTATGTGCCTTATCCTGTGCAACATTCTATTCCTTTTTTTCCACCAAAAATTAGACAGAAATGTATTAGTGAACTGAAAAATTTGCAAGATGTGCATAATGAATGTTGTTCAAATTTTGCTGAGTATAGCGCTAATATTTTTGGAAATACGTTATTGGATATTTTCATCAGACCATATAATCGCAAGGTGAGTTTATTTTTTACTCACACATATCGTTGCTAACAATTTTCTCTATAAAAGTAAGTAATTTCTATGTGATTTTTAATCATAAAGTATCATTTTGCAAATTTTATTATGGTAAGTAGGCGAGAAAGTAGGACTACTTACTGTATTTGTTTCGGTGTGGACAGTTGAGTTGGAAGAAATGAACACTTCTTGGGCAATAGGTCGAGTACCTTGTATTAATTTGGCTAGTATTGAATCACTATGTGGACGAAGCCGACATGAGCTTGAAATGAATGGTTCCAAATCATCATTAATGTGTTTCAAGTCAGTCTGTAATTTCTTTACTATCTTTCATCTCAAATTTATAAAACTGTAATGACTGATTGTGAATTTGAGTGTACTTTCAGTCTTTAGGTACCCAAAAGAATTGAAGGGCATTGGCGAAATATGGAAAAAAATTGCAGAACGTTATCCAAAATCTATTTTTCATTTAAGAGAGAGAGTGAAAGAAATTGATGTTGAATCGAAAAAGGTACATTAGTTTTCCTTTATATATTTTCACAGGATTGTATGCAATATTCGTGAGTTTCATTTCTAAGATTTGTAGTTGATTTAAATAGCTGTCAAGGCGTCTTCATTTCTTAGATATATAGTGAGGATTCGAAGTGTAAGACGCACGCTTATGATTATGATGCTATATTATCCACTTTGCCAATACCCGAATTATCAAAAATTTCAAAAGTAATCAGCAATGTCGACTTAAAATATTCCAAGGTTTCTTTATTCATATCATTGATTTCATGTTTCTTAATTTCATTAATTTAGAATATGAAACTTTTGCATGACCTGTAATGGATTCTTCTGTTTTTTAGGTAATTCTTGTTGGCCTTGGTTTGAAACATCCTCAGTGTGAATGGACCCAGTTCGTTACATGGGCTTATTTTCCATTACCTGACACAATTTTTTACAGGTTCACTGTAAATTCGAGTCACTTGACGTTAGAAATTTTTATAACTGTTTAGGCTCTAAAATTGTTCTTCAGGTGCACTTTCCTATCAAACTTCAGTGATAACTTAACACCAGATTCTAATCAATTTTGGTCCATTTTATGTGAAATTGGATTGCGGGCTAATGAGAATATTGTTGAAAAAGAAGTGATTATAAGAGTCATTGAAGGTAATTTTTTGTTAGATTTTTTCATATTCAATGTTTATCCCTATTTTAAATTTATTACTTCAGGATTGAAATTGAAGGGAATAATAACTGACAAAAACGAAATTGTTAATGAGTGGTTCCATGTTTTACCATATGGGTACCCTATTCCAACAGTGGGAAGAGACAAAGAATTAAAACGCTGTCATGAAGTATTCGAGGTGATTTATTGCAATCCTTCCATAACTATTAATAAAACTGAGATGCGAATTTTGATTTCATACGACTTTTCAGTCTCATAATATTTATTCTCGTGGACGATTCGGTGGTTGGAAATATGAAATATCTAATCAGGATCATTGTTTCATGTTGGGAATGGAATGTGCAGACCATATCTTATTTGGGAACGATGAAACGTTGTACGCTTTGTGATTGCAAAATTATTCATAATTTACATATCTCATAGATGGTATTAAAATAGTACACTTTACTTGAACATTGATAGATTTCATAAATGGATAAGAACTTTTCGACTAGCAGAGTGTATTACAAGTTGCTATGCACAATGTGAAAAACAAATGTTGAATTCACAATAGGCACTTATATATTATTACACAAAAACGATCAACCAAAAAGCAAGTATGGGAAAAACTAACCGCCTGTGTCTGCTTTAGAGTTCTGCTAGAAAAAAAACTTTTAGGGTTTTATCTATCTCATTCATCAGAAGAAAAAAATTGAAAATGATGCTCCAATATTTTGAACAAATTCAGCTCTAATATGAACTACATGCTTTTGTTGTAAGCAGCTTTAAAATTATTTTTTAACTGCTAAACTTTAATTAGGAAAAAGTCGAAATAAAGGTATACAGAACTCGAGAACTTTGACACTCACTAAGTTTTAAGGAACATGCACACGCAAACCAGAAACTACTATAGATAACACGAGAAATAGAATCACAAAGTATGATACATTAGATATAAAGCTATGACTACTTCTGTGAAAGAACTCTTCTTAGTATAAATAGAAGTACTTAACAAGATGAATAATAATTATGGATGCTACGAACCCTAATGATATAGATGAGATTTCTATCACAAAGATTCTGGATATTTTTTGTTTTATTTATATTCTACTTTTTTAATAATGCCATTTGCTTTAGCAGTAATTTTTATATCAATATTATCAGTTTTGTTGTCAATTTCAGTCCTGTATAGGTTCTTTCCAAGTTATTCATTATATATGATGCATAATTATGATTTAGTTTTTAAAAATTTCCAAGTTACAGCAAATTATAATAAATTTGTCAGTTTCTCACAGCATGATAATTTTCATTGGATGGCTGTAAAATTCAGGTAGAAAATTTTAATATCAAGCTATTTTCTAGTAATTTCCAAAAAAGTTTTTGCTAATTTCAGCAAAATTCAAGTTGAATAAATTTAGATTTGTTCGAAAAATCTTCAACACTGGTCATTTTTGATATTGGGTCAACTAGAACGTTCACTATTATCCAACTGAACAGCACTTAATGCAGCCGTTGACATCATTTGTAAAAGGCTCTAAAAAAGGAATACGTAATTAATTATGCAAATTAACTCGTTTATTAATATATCTATCCATTGTAAATAATGATTCAGTAATATAAAATGGTATGCTAATTACCTGTTGTAAAGTGAGCGAGTTAATAGGAAACATAAATTGTGGATTAGTTTGTTGAGTTTTTGATGTAGGATTCGTACTATTTCCAGCTCCGTTAACAAATAAAGCACTACTATTATCAACTCCTAAAATAAAAATAGAATTATTTTTTGAAATAAACACATCAAAAAATTTAATTTTCATTCTTATAATTATTATATATAATCAAATTTTTAAACTTATTCAACTTTTTTTAACGTCTAAAAATACCTTTATTATTTATTTCACCTTTTTCTTCTTTACAGATTTAATTTAAATGTACAAGCATAGTTCTAAGAAAAATTACTGCTTGTATTGATGTTATTATCAGTATTAAATTTGAATTCTAATTATGCTTGACCTTCTTCATTTGTGTATATCACGCCTTGAGGTATTTGATACATAATGGCGTTGCTTGTTCCAACTGCTGGTGCTGAACTCAAACCTATAATAATTTTTTGATTGATTTGATTTTTGATAAAACGTTTAATGGTTTTAAAAGTCAAAACAATATTTGGTACTTCTGAAAAAAGTTTTACTTATTTTAATTTTTTACTAACTTTTTTCACGCAGTCTTCGCTGACTTACTATATCTAATGAATCTTTTTAATTATCCTCAATGATTTATTTGAAACGATTTTTTGAAACTTTTTACTAAATTAGAAACAAAATTTACCTTATTTCATTGATTTAAAAAAACTTGAAGAGATTTCACCTTTACTTAATTGATATGAAAATTAGCTTTAGAAATTCGCATATGAAGAAAATTGTTAAGTAGTGCTTTCTGTACATTTGGATTGGTAAAAGATTCTTTGAAATACTTCATGTGAATTACAAACTGAATTCACCCGGCAGTAGAAAAGGTGCGAGAAGAGGGAACGCTGCAGTAGCTTGCGCATTGGTAGCACAGGTAGTAATGGCACCAGTTGGACCATTCTGAGTATTACTGTTATTGATATTATTATTACTGCTACTATCATTACTATTATTATTATTATTATTATTATTATTATTGCTTGCAATGATGCAATTATCATTATTGCTATTATTTTTGGCTTTATTTTTTTGCATTTGTCGTTGGGCAGCCGCTACGCGTAGAGCTTCCTTCAGTGTCCGTTGCAGTGATAACGAAGTTGCTTTATCTATAAGAAAACGATTTTATCACTTTAGAATAATTATTATTAGTAGTGCTATTTAGTGTGAAATAACTGTGAGAAAATTTGTTAATTAATTTAAATCTCTTTTCAGCACAAATTTTTGTAATAATTATCAAGAAAATGCACTCAATTCATTAAATATGAATAGCTGACAATACTTCACGTCAAATATTTGTTTAGCAGATAAATTCTACGCTTATTAAATTCTACGATTTTTACAAATAAGCGTAGAATTTACGTGCAAACGTGAATAAAAATTTTTCAAAATGTTTATTTATTTTATATGCAATAATTACTTATATCATACTATTAATTTCAAAATATTAATATTATATTCAAATTCAGACTGATTTAAAATTTCTTCCCAGAAATGTAAATTATTTCTTAATTAAATTAGTAAGTTATATATAAAGTTAGTCCCTTGTTTTAAATCCTCCTTCTCCTTTCTTATCAATACTAGTACTGATCAACTCATTAATCTATTTACTGAATTAATAGTCTAAATTCAATCTTTGCCCCCATCTTATCTATGAAATATATAAGGTAATATCCCGCTATATCCAAGAAAGCAGCTAACTACTCAATTCAGTAGCAGCTGTTTAATGTCTACATTTGGCTTTTCAATCGTTTATACAATTTAGTGATGAAAAGCAAAGATTCTTTTTTCTATGTAGCAAAAGTTTCACTAGTAAATAGAATAAATATATATTACACTATTAAAGATGCTAAATTCTTAAGAAAAATTTTTATTTGCAATATTTTCTTTCCACTTGTCAATTAAATGTGTAAACTTTTACTAACTTATTTATATTCCGTATATATCTTGCGCAGCAGATTTGTTAAAATCTAGTTTCATCTGTTTTATTTGATCTACTTATCCATTCTTGCATTCTTCATCCATCTATTTGTCTATCTACCTATTCAAGTTATCAGTCTAAGATGGAAGGAAGGAAGGAAGGAAGGAAAGTGTTAGCAAGTATGCAACAACTGTCGTTGACCTCTTAAATGAACTTTTAAGCTAAGATAAAATAAAAATGTAAAACAGCTGTTACTTCTTCAACTAATGAATGAATAAATATCCATTAATGGTTAATTTAATCTCTCAAATATTCTTCATTATATATAGCTATTTTAGTATAAAAATGCGCAATTACAGTCTAAAATAAAATGCATTTATTTATTTGAATACATAATAAATTATTATTTTAGAATATTTTAATTTGTATTTAAAAACAAAAACAAAAAATGCAATGAATTTAGTCAAAAAATTCTAAGCATTCACTGATAATCTGTACTACAATATTATTTATTATAAGTAATGCATTTCATTTGCAAGCAAAATGTTTCTCATGATAGAATATTTAATCATTTGTACATAATCATGTATTATCTATGCTAATCATGGAAAGGTGCGATTTTTTGATGAATATGCGGAACAAAAATTTAGAATGTGATAGTGATAAAAAATTTAAAATAAAAGTGATAAAGTTAGAAAGTGTTTGTAATTTGATATGAATATTACAATTCTAAATTTTAGTACTTACGTTCTCTATTTGTTTATTTTTTGGACTAAATTGAAAGAAATCAGATCAGATCATTTTTCAACTATGAATCAAAATACATGACATAATTTGATTAAGAATTATTGAAATTAATGCATTATAATTTCTTTCAAATGATTTCTGAGAGAACTAAAACCTTTTTCTTTATCAGTTTCGCTTTCTTCAATGGTAGCATCATGACTATCAATGCTTTCAGATTCCCCACCATCAGAATTATCAACTTCATCAGGATTACAAGTTGGTGAAGTTGGTATCGCTGCTGGATGTACCATTGTTGGCAATTCTGCGCACTAAAATTATCAATTAATTAGTATAAAATAATAATTTATCAAATTTAGTGCAAAATTGCTGCATTATGTATCGCACAAAAACAGCAATATAATAATACAATTGATAATTTGTATTGTAAATTCCTTTTCTGAATTCCAATTTTTTAAAATAAGATAATGAAAATTAATCAACAATTATTCACTAATCGTTATCAGCAATTATTGCTTTTTTGCTGTATAACGTGAGATCGTTTCATAAAATGATTTTTCCATCATTTTCTTATAACAATAGTGAAAATAAAAGTTTCTTAAAGTGATTAATTAAAATATAATAATTAAATCACTAATTTACAACCCTTCGCACTTTAGAAGGCATATTTTTTCATCATTATCCATATAATAATTAATGAATCTACACGACAAATGAATAATTAATTTGTATACTTCACTTTTATTTCAATGCAGCTGATTTTGTATGCATATTTTCTTGCCCTTCACAAAATTATATTCATATCGCAAATATTTATTTGTATTTTATTTTTGTAAAAAAAAGTTTTATAAAAACTAGCATTGTATAAATATTATATTTATAAATGAATTGCTAATTAAGTTAGTCCCTTTTTAGATAATATAAAAGTAAATAATTTCAAATGAGTTAGCAGCAATAACTAGTTGCAGATGAGATTTGATGCTTTGCTCGAGAAATTGGATAAATTTTACTAATTTAAGTGTTGCTGCAATCACAACTACTATTTTAGTATTACTCATAGTAGTAATAGTAATAGTAATAGTAATAGTAATAGAAATGCTGCTCACATTACTACTAATATTTCTACTACGATCTGCGTTGGATGCTAATAGATAGATCAGACTAGTTTTGAATAGTAATTTTGGATAGTAATGCCAAATTTGTAAGCAAACAGAAGAGCCATTCTACTCAGTTAATACATATCTATTCATTACGTCTTAGGATAGCTGTTGTAAACAGCTATCCTAAGACGTAATGAATAGATATGTAGTTAAGTACTTTAATTTCATGTATTTAAATACTGTAATTTCAATTAAATATTCACATTTTGTTGTTGGAATAAATTTTAGCTTCATTTCCTGCTTAATTAATTTGAAAAATTAAAATGATTTTAAAAATGACAATTTATTCCACGAATTTTAAATAGACACATAACTAAATATTTCAGTTTTAATCTCTATTTTGCGTAGAAGAAAACTTTTAATTTTATTTGCTAATATATAATAATTGATATATTTTAGTATTAGCTAAAAATTTGTGCAGTGAACAGCAAAAATGTTTTCTACACCTTAATTTTTATTCAAATTGCTTGATAATTCTGTAAATTCATTTTGAATTTTATACACAAAAAAGTGGTGAAAAAATAATGCGTGAAAAATTTACGTAAGAATCCGTTAATTTTTGACTTTTATAATGACTGGACTTTTTGAGATAGAATTGCATAATAAAGTACAACTTGTAGATGAAAATTTCTTGCAAGTACAAACAAAGTAAGTAACTTATTATGTTAGTGAAATAATAAATCTCAATTTAATTAATGACTTAATGTGCAAAAATTAAATAGTTAAGTTAATAAAAATTTAATTAATTCGAATTAGCAAATATATCCACTAATTTTGCTACAATACTAAATTTTTGCTGTCTAACAAGTTATAATTTCCCAGTGATAATTGTTAGATATATGAGAAATTAACTGTAATAGTAATGATAAAACTTGAATTCATTCAATATAAATTTTAACTGGAAAAATTATCTACGAATGTAGTAATGATTGACGTATACTTTACAGCAAGCTTTAGTAGATAAGTTTGAACAAGTTTTGCTTATACTTAACAGCAAAGTTTACATAGAACTATGAGTAACAAAAAATTACTTTTGTACAATAATCATTTTTAGGACTGGAAGGAACTGTTTAGTACAAAATTACCAAAATAATATGATACAAAAATTTTCATTTTCTTCAGTAAATAATCAAAAAGTTAAAAAATATTTGTGAAAATTTTATTAAGTACACTAAAAAATGCCCATCAAAAGTAGCTACTTTACAAAAACAACAATTACTGTAAGCTTACTTGGAAAAAAACTAGCTTTTACTGTTCCAAAAGTAATACAGAAGTACTGCAAATTTATGCAAACCTTTGTTTACTTGTAGTCTTAACACACTTTAAGATTATTAATATTTCATGAAAATATAATAAAAGCAAGATATTTAATTCAAAAAGATTGAAAATGAATTAATTACAAAATTAACAAAACCAGCATATTCAAATTATTCAAATAAACATGTTTAAAAAGCAAAATGAAATATGAATAATAGAAGTAAAATATTCACAGAAATCAGTTTCCAGAAAATTTACAGGCTCAAATTATATCAGAAACCAATTAACTTATTGACTTGTAAATTCAATAATTAAAATTAAAAATTATAAAACATTTCAATATATTACATGAAACTTAATGAAATAATATGCTTATTGCCAAAATAAATAGTACAGTTTTGATATATTCAAATTATTATCACTTTGTTATTTGCATTTTATCCCTTTGCTGCAAATAAATGAATAAAATATTTATACCATTTTGAGTATTATTATTTTTTACTACAGATTAAAATTTTTAAAACTTATTGTCACTTATCTATTTAATATATTGTATGAGATTCCAGCAAAACAGTGCTCCTGTGGATGTAAATAATTATTGTCTTTTTGATATTCACATTTAACATCACAATTTTGAACATATAAACACAATAACAATAAAAATAAAAATTTATGATTTTCATATCTATTCTTAATTATTAAACGTTTTACTATTTTGTAAATATTAGCTATAATTACAAATCAAATATTTTTTTTAAATTTTACTATTAAAAAACAACATATTATGCATTAAAATAATTTTGAAAAAATTAAAATAATAAAAAATAGCGAATTTTTATTTTGCAATCTTTATAAATTTTATTACCGAGAACAACTTTTTCCGAGAATATTCTCCTCCCAAATAATTATTTATAATTTAAAAAACTGTTTGATTTTTACAAATAAATATTTTTTGTAATCCAATTTTTTATTTTTGCATTATCCCTACAATCAAATTATGTATCATTCTTTCCTCCTTTGAAGCTATTAAATTATAAGAAAGCAAGCAACAAAACAATAAAAATTTGTTTTAATTTTGTCTAGACTTAACGATGTTTCATTTTTTTTCTATTATTGTTATTAATTAATATTAACATACTTTTTATTATTTATTATCATTATTAACTGATATAATTTATCATCCATTATCGCTAATTATTATTTAATATTGTTATTATTATTACCATTATTTATTATTATTATTGTTATTATTATTATCATCATCATTATCACTATTATTACTTCTTTAAGTTATTTAGTTTGATTGCTGATTGGTGTTGTTTTGTCTTTTATAACAAGTATGTTATACTTGATGTGATAAAAATAGTTGAGCACTGATTAAACTTACTTTAACTGATTTTGTTTACCATATCATATCATATCATATCATATAAATATCTTCCCACCTATGCCATGCATACTTTATTCATTTATTTCTCCATCATTTCCTTTAAACCAAACCATTTTACAACATTTCTAGACTTCAAAACTGCAAAAGCTAAATAGATGTTGTCATAATAATAGAATGAAAATATATTTTTGCTTACTAACTTACTTACTTACTTACAAACTTGCTTGCTTTCTTACTTGCTTGCTTCTTTCTTGCTAATCTATATGCCTTCTTCTATCTATACTAAAATGTGTATTAGCAACATCATAACATTTGCACATATTTGCTAGTAAAGTTAGCAAAGCTAAAAATTAGTTAAAAGGAATAAAAAGATAAGTTAACTAACTGATTAACTAACTAACTTAATGACTAACTGACTGATTGACTGAGTATAGATGAAAAGATACCAGAAGGAATGAAAATAAAACTAATACTGCCTGAAATAAATATATGCTGGTAAAATTTACATCAGCAGCATTATCATTACTTACTTTAAAGTTTTACTCTCAAACTATTAATCGAGAATGGAAGTAAATTACATTAAATTTTCTTTTTTTTTCGCTTTTATATAAAATTTCAAAATTTTATGAAAAAAAAAAGAAAAAATATGTAAAATTATTCTACTAGCTTTGCCAATTCAATTTATATTTTAATTACTAAATATTTAGATATGTATTAATTATTTTATGCTAAATATTCAATAATAATCTAAAATTATATTACTTATTAATATCTATGCAAGAATAATTTTACAGCAAAAATGTTGAAAATGATGAAAAATTTTTTTATTTGAGATATTTTTTTTAGGAAAAAATATTTAAGATATTTAAGATTTTCTCTTTTTACCACTTGCAACTAACTAACTACCATATCTCTTTTAAAAAGATATACTATACGTCAACATAAGGAAAAATAAAAAAAAAAATTTGAAAAACAGCATTAAACTTTAGTTTGCTTTTGGTTTGCAATGAAAACATGAATGGATGCATAGTTCTCGTTTCTTTTCAAACTTTTTTAATCATTCAAAAGTTTGTTTTAAAAAATGACGTTATTAAATGTGTATTTGTTGAAGATAACGAAATATGGCACTGAAAATATGAAACAAAATTTTAAAAAATGCGAATATACACATTTCACTCAAGTACGTACGCAAAAATAAACGTATATACACGTGCGCTAAAATGCATACATGCACGTATACAAAGATATATTATGTGAAGAAAATGCAGTCTCATAATGCTTCGATTGGCAGTTGTCATGCAAATAAATTACCGTATATGTTTGAGAGAAAAAGACAGAGGGAGGAGCATGCATGTTGAAATGAAAATGTATGAACGTTAAAAATTGTCGTACTGTGATGTGCATTACTCATCATTTTGTTATTTTATTAACATAGAGTTATTAAACCTATTTTGTAAATCTTTTGTATACATGCATACGTGCGTGGAAAAAATTAACATGCTCATAGATGTTTGACACGGAAGTATGAATTACTACTTAATGCACCAATAATTTAACGTCGTCATTTACAAAGTGTTCTTTTTTTAATTTACCGTATTTTTTTTCTTACCAAAAACAATAAATTACTTCTTATTTTATAAGAACATTTTAGACATTTTGGTCAATTTTTTGACTTTCAAAAGAACTACAATCACTGGGAAAGTTTGAACTACAGCTTAAGCTTTATTACTTGTATTAACTTCGGACAATTAATTGCAAAAATAGCAAAAAAGTGGAAAAAAAAACTTTTAATTTCAAATAACTGCAGATCGATAAGGTATCAATTTTCGTTCAAAATTTAAAAATTTTATAAATACTTTTGACGAAAAATACATATTTTTAGTAGTAAGTCAGCAATGCTCACTAAATAATAGACAAAGGTCAACGACGGGGTTGAGGTTAGGTTGAGGTTAAATTATCTATTCTGTCTTTGCTTGTAAGTAATCTGTGAACTTGCATAAATTCACATTGATATTAATTATGACTTGTATGAAAAATGATGTACATTGATTATCAGACACAGATAAAACAGTAATTTATAAAATAGTGTAAGTCCATAAATGCATTTGCGTTTTAATGTGAATTAGCTTGGAATGCGATAATTGCAAATCAAACCTCATTCAATTTTCGTTTTCTCGAAATACTTGACTGCGGTTCGAATGTGAATTCTTGTCGCGCCCCAAGTGCATCAACAGAATCATCTGAAGTCATATTTTGGATCGCATTACTCATTAATCATCAAATGATTCGTAGCAAGAATACCAAAATTTTCTACTATTACAACAAAAAATGCATCTTTTAAATCTCATCCTTAAAATGCTCTAAAATAAGCCCGAAATGTGTATAGATATTTTTGAAATTCGAAACCCCAAATATCATCAATAACTAATTTCTTTTTCAACGAACAAAATCAATCAAATATTATAATAATTAATTAATACGACAATATTAAGTATGATTGAAACTTTCATATATTTATTACAATAAACATAATATATATATGCAGTAAATGATGTGATCGGGAATCAAAGTTTAAGTTCAATCTATACAAACCAATATCCGGAGTATTAAGGCAATTCCTGATGAGTGTTTTTCCAGCTTCGGAGGAGATCATCGGCCGTAATTTTTTAGTTGCAAAAGTGTAAACGTGACCTGTTTCAGAAGCTACCAATAACATTACTTGCGTGCCTGTCAACGTAGATAACTCATAAGCCTACAATTACAATAAAACTTGAGACATTATAAATCTATGCAAAAAATGATAACATTTTAAATAGTGAATATTATTAAAAATTTGCATATTATTCATATATGCAAAATCAACCAACCAACCAATCTATACATCAATTTATCTACCTACGTATTCTATCTATTTATCCAAATTCAAGTAGAACCGACATCAATCAATAAATGAGCCAGTATTTAAATCAAACTAATTTTATACAGAAAATTCAAATTTCAGAAAATAAACCACAAACTTTCTTCATAATGCCAGTTTTCCTCTTACTAAATGTTGTATACCTTCGTAATTTATTGCCAATGTATTCCATTTTTATCTTTACCCGACCTGAAGAATAAAATAAGGTCATAATTTTATGCATTTCATTTAATGACAACAAATCATTAAATGAAAATTATTTCAAATGTTGGCTTCTAAACTCTAACTTGCAAGAGCCAAGCCAATACTATGCTTGAATAAATCGGCTACATTCAGATATGAGTGTCAAATATAGGCTAAATTTTGCAGTATTATTTTTGATTAATATTCAAAATTTCAACTCTGACCTTTAGTTTTTTTTCCATTTGGTAAAGCTGGTGTACTCTCATTTACCTGATGTTGAGGTTGTGGGGATGAACTTTCATACTGACCTTCCATACCACCTTCTTCTGCTGAAGACTAAAAAAGCAAGCAAATTAGCATGTAATACGATATAAAAAGTTAAAACACGTACATACTGCAAAACATATTCATTTACTGTATTCTCAAATATTTTAACTTCAGTTAATAAATATTCATAAGACAATATTCGCGAATTCGTGAGAATAAATACAATACGAAGTATGAAAAATCATAACAAAGCTTTAGAAATATTTGTAGACTTGCTAATTATTTTCATTATTTGCTAGTATTGATGAGTATATAATAAATGTTTAATAATATATAAATGTTTTATTTTAGGTAAAAATGAAGTCTTTTCCTACTCATATGAATTTAACATTACTGAAATTATAGAGATTCAAGTTTATCACGATAACGATTACGATATGATAATTAAAAATTGTATAAAATACGAAGGAGAGAAGATAAGAATTTTCTATAATGTGAGATAAACTTAAGAATAAAAGTCTTGAACTATTATATGTGAATATATTCAGTAATATAATTAAGATGAGTAATAAATCAATAATTCGGTTAAAAACAATTAAAAATTGACCCAAAAATATGAATTTAGAAACGTAAGTTTTACAATTTTGTGAGTTTACTAAGAATTTCCGACAAATTAAGTAAATCAGAATTTGAATAAAAATAGATTATGCATTAAGATTAATTCCTATTTAAATGAGATAATTGTTTCTATGCATTTGTTGAGATATTTGTTTTTTATGATCCTGATATGATAGTAAGCTTATTAAATAAATTAAAAATTTAATACATAATGAATTAATTAAAATGTCGATAATAGAGTTAGAAAAGTTAGAATATAAGCTTCTAAGACAATTTAATGCTATCAATTATTAAAATTAGTGCAGTAAGCAAATAAATTATTTTTTACGTAATTAAATTAGGCAAATTAATGAAAAAAAAGTGTAGAAAAAACATATATACTGTAAGATAACTTTAATTACATCATAGCATTACTTAGACAGAATTTTATTATTTATTTTTTACGTTGTAATAAAATGAGACTGATAAAATAGAAAACAATAAGTTATAAATAGGGAATGAGCAATTATTTACGAGATATTTTAGATATCTCAGCAAAAATTGACGAATGTATTTAGAGTTAGGTTAAAAA